AAGTGAGTAAAAAAAAATAACTGTTCCAAAACACATACATTGTTATTTATACTTGTCACCACAATGTAAGAAAGAATATCCCTGGTATTCACCTTTGCCATTTCATGTGAGAACAATGCAGTGCAAAGAGATTTGTCAAGGCATGTTTTAATTATCCACATACTTCTAGTGCTTACGTAAATGCCAGAAGTGTGTCTATGGTCAAATTAAGTAATATATTTTAATGATTTTTCAGTTTATGTTTGCTTCTGTATGCATTTCTATATCCTTGAATATGTTTGTGTGCTGTACAGTATAGTACATGTCAACAAAGACTACCCAGTGACACCATAATTTATACATCTGTGCTAATTTAGACTCTGACACCCCAACACTACCATATTAGAAATGAAGTGAAAATTTGACTGAACCGAGAAAAAAAAAATCTTGAAATTTGTTAATCACACAAGTGGCTTTGTGTGAGCAAAATACATGTCAAAAAAAGCACTCATTCTTCCGCAAGAGTGGTTTTCCTTATATCCTGTACCTGGGCTTGACAGTCGGCATTTTTTTGATGTACATGCTCTGTCTTTGTGTAGGCGATAATGTATGGACGAAAGACAAAGTATCCACTGTTAGTTAGTCAGCTGGGTTTGTTTTGAAATTCAAGATTGTCAGAAACATGGTTTGTATTATGATTTACACAAAGTGCTGAGCTATACTTGGCATTGAAGGGGTTTCAGTTACCTTGGCTGTTTTTAATATACATTGCAGGCCTTTGTTGAAGTATGACATTTTGGTTCTCTGTTGATGCTTATTTTGAGCCTCGCATCAGAATAGATTTTGTTGAAATCCCTCTGAATTAGCCTGTTGTCCTCATCTTACTGGGTGTTTTTTTTAGCATGCATCATGAGAACGGCTTCACTGCCGCTTGTCTCTCGCCATGTAAATTTAATTAAATTTTGTTTCATAGTTTTCTTTGAATATTGAGTTTTGTATTGATTCAAAATTCAACATTATCACACAACTTGCTAACACTGTTTTTTTCTCATTCATTCTGGCTTTCTGTGGATGCATTGAACAGGTGGTGTGTCATATTATTAATCTTCCCAACCCGTGTTGGTTGGTGAAGACCCAGTTACATGCATTGTATACTATCTGTGATGCAACACACTCAATATTATTGATCAACTTAAAGAAAGGTCATAGACTTAAAGGGGTGGAATATTTTGGTATAATTGATAGGTTTGCCATTATCTATTTGATGAGGCAGTTAGTTTTTATTTCTCCCCTGGGACTTGTATGTTCACCCATTTACTTCGCTGCCAGCCTTGAAATATACATACAAGTACCAGCACCCCAATCATCAACAGGAGTGCAAGTTTTTCTGAATTATTCCTGACAATATACATGTATATATTGTTTCAGCATCACTATCCTAAGTGAATTTGTGGGAAGATTGTAACTTCATAAACTTATAGATATGTGCATGTACTAAGATACATTTATCATCGCCTGGTCTATCTGTAAAGATAACTATGCGCTCAGAATGTCATGCTGGTAAAGCACTTTTATTAAATGTCACAAGCTGATCTTATTTATGTGATAATGAGAATGTCAGCTGTGAACCAAACAATGTTACATGTACTGTAATGTAAAGTCATAGTTTTTTATGTATGGTGTGACTGCTGCTGTTGCTGTTCTATATTTAGTCACCATTGATGCAGTGAACTGATGCATAACATTGGGATAGTACATTAGGTTATGCTGTTCTCTGTTCACCTATAATGGTTGTATGTTGATAGAGACATAATGACTGCAGTGTGTTGCAGGTGTTGAAGGCCTTGAAGCCCAAATTTTGTCTGATAGATGTTCCATATGTCCATTTGTCTATATGGAAATTTTACCTTGAAACTGGGTGTGTCTCTGATCTAAGGTTGGTGACCTCTCTGATCTGAGTTGTATATACTATTATTTACTGATGAATAGTATTCAATGATAAGGTATCCCAGCCAAGGTCTTCTTGTGTATGGCTATTACTGACTGGTATCTTGTTTGACATTAGCTGTACTCCTAGTGGGAAGAACAGGTGTCACTATAGAAATTGGTTCATTTACGGTCTGCTGGATCCTGCATTGATGATATGTGACCGGTTTTCATTACTGTTAGGCTGCATTGAAATTTATCATCCAATTCAATTACAGACACCATTCCCAATTAACAAAATACATAACAAGCAGTAGATACTGATTAGCGATAGCTGTAAAAGTTTCTAAGAGTGATTGATTGGTAATCATCCAACTGTGGTAACTATTTATTCATGGGTCATCCACAAATGCCAATCAAGTTCAAGGGCAATAATGTGAAGTGATAATGGTTCATATCTTGCAAGGTTTCACAAATATTAGCCCTGTGTCTAGGTCAAGGATGGTGATAGTATTTATTCCTTAGTACCGTAAAATCTGTATTAGAAGCCGCATCCCTAATAGAAGTCGCACTCATTTTTTTTGAATAATTGAGAACCAAAATTTCATCATTTCTCATATGTGTAGATGCTCTAATAGAAGCCTCATCCCCTCTATTGCATTGTACCATTTTAATAGAAGCCGCGGTTTCTAATACAGATTTTACAGAAATATTGATCAACATTTTAATATAACATAACCTCGTTGACGCTGCAGGTCGGCGTCCGTTCTACACCGAATGTTTCGAAGTCAATCGTCAATTGGCACGTGTTTTATAGATATATCATATTGTTTCAGGGGCATGTTTACTAAATAATGATAAATGAAACTTATGAAATAATGTAAGAACAAACTGGCCCCAAAATTGCGCAAATTTGCAATAAAGTTGATGTTGTTAGTGTCTGGTTTGAAAGGTGTTCTATGCGTGATTTTATCATGTTCAAGGACGTTCTATTTTCGAACTAGTTGATACCTGAAATTACGCGAGTGCTTTCGAACATCACACAGAAATTTGATTATCATTATTATGTGTTATTTATGACATTAATATTTCTCTCACTAAACAATATTTCACTAAAATATGTGATTAAAAAGCAACTTAAATTGTAAAAAAGTAGTGTCAAGTTCCGTGTATAAACATTAGTGAAATGTCACTTTTTGCTATAACCCAATGTAAAATCTTAAACAATGAGCAATAAAGTTACTTTTATTATGGCATTTTTAAGACTAGGGTCATAGTGGCTTTCGTGAGAGGTCGTCCTTATGAACACCCCCAATTTATCAAATTGACTAGCGATAATTCAACAGTTTAGAGATAAAAAATGTGTCAATTAACTATTTTCTGTTCACTGCGAGATCCTGAGTTGTGCATGAAAAACATAAAAAATAGGACAAACAAAGACTGGGATTCTTTTAAACAAGGGAGCAGGGGTGCAGCGCCCTCATGCCATGTCCATTTGCCCCCTTACCCTGGGAAGCAGATCCTCTGGCAACCATAAAATTCTGATTGATCAGGGATCACATGTGGTCACAGTCTTCAACTGTCACCTTTTAACTTAGAATTATCAAAAACTCCACACCCTGGTAGGGGGAATCCCCCCACTTGGTGGCGCCACTGAATTGCAGTGCTCCCTCTTGCAGTTTTTTTCTAGAAAAACCCCTGAAAGGTCATAGCATTGTAGTGGCATCAATATTTTGCTTGGGATTCAACAAATGAAAATATTTTTGGCGTATTTCCACACTTAATAATGAGTTATTCACATTTTATAATGGTCACTTTCGTCATTTCAACATTGAGCTATTAAAAAAAAAAGTTCTAAATCAAATCATTTGATTTTGCCACAGACGTTCAGTCTGCGCCTTTCAAGCAATACCTCACATATCTCGCACTGAACAGAAAATCACTTATTAAAGCCAAAGTGATAAATGTGTGATGTTTCCGTTGATGACCATTAGCATCACATGTGTAATGCAAGGGAAAAGGTAAAAATGAAAACTAAGATACTGATTAATTGATGACGCATAGTTAACTGTGCTGTGTTTAACTTTCCTTTTCTTTTTCAAAAATCACTGTAAAAGCTTTATTGATTATTATCCATGGTTGAGATCCCCGTGGTACTGCATGCAATTATCTGGTAAATGTATCTATTAAAAGTGATAAATTGACAGGTAAATCTGCATGCTTAGTCAAGGTCACTGCCCTTGGTCCGCTTAGGGCTTACTTATCTCATGTAGTCTCTGCTAGATAGGCACTACATGTGGAGACATGTTATTCTCTTTAAATGATATCAACATTTAAGAAATGTTATTATATTATAATAATAATAATAATAATAAGAAAAAAAATATGCTCAAAAATCATCTTCGTACTGAGTGTAATGTATTATACATATAAGTGTAATTGTACATTGATTGATGAGGAATCTTTATTTACAAACACATGTTTGTTTTTATAACTGTTTGAATTTTGTTCAATATCCTTGAACTACTGGTATTTGTCATATCTGGTGTCACATGTCTGATATGTAGTGATATAATTTATGTAAACAAGAGAGATATTTCATCACTTTGTTGATATCATTATTAGTTATTCATGAATGATGATATTCAAACTGGAATTCAGGCAGATGGTGTATTCCAGTTGTTGCTGTAAAAATTAGCAAGAAAAAAAAAATTAATTTAAAAAAATGTACCATCCGTTCTGGCTAAATATTTTACATATATTGTGTTCATTTTTCAGACCTAACTATAAAGCTTAGACCTAAAATGCCAAGTCTGCCGTTGTCAACTTGTTGTAAGAATTTCTAATTCGTTCCTTCTTATTATAATCTTAAAAAGTTGGAGGGAATGTCAAAATCTCATTTAAATTTCTCCCTGCTCCTGCCCATCCACCCTCTCTTCTTTCTCCCCAACCTCGTCCTAGTCCTTCTCATCATCATCATTACAATGTATTATCATCAGCAACAGCCCTCTCATCCACCCTTTCCCACAACCAGAATACTGAAAACTTAGATTAATAATTTTGTTTGTTTGTTTATATATATTTATTGATTACAGGGCAATTGTGGGACAGATAGAAGATCTGCAAGTATACTGCTGCCATGGTCTTATGCGATCAGAATCGCAGGACCTGTTTGTACGAGATGAGAGTGGTTGTCCAGAAAGTATAACTTTTGGATCACGCCAAAATCATGAAGAAGACTGCCAATATGCATTAGTGCCATGCGTAAATAATCCTGAACAGTGCGGAAACTTTCGACGCAGGGATTTAGAAGAACATTTCAAAATCTGTACTTTTACTCCGTGTCCCCATCGAGATAGAGGTGAGTAATCCTAAATTTTCATGTGATTATGGAAATCATATTTGGTTTGGCTGCTTTTTGAAGCATACCAACTCATCACTGTTTTGCTATGTTAATGACACAAGCATGTCTGATTCCAATGGAGAAAGTACCATAGCTACAACAGCATTTCATTAATTCAGTTTTGTCTGCCTCTTGAAAGTCTCATTCATTTTACCGCTAGTAATGAATTATCTGTCATTTTGTAATTTCGTTTTCCATATAATAATTACTCTTAGACTAGTTTTTTGCTTTTGAAAATTTAATTGGAGTTTGAACATTTCGAATTAGTCTTAACTACCGTACTCGACCGCGTTAGCAGCCATGCCCGGGCAAGCGCCCACCCCCACTTTTGCGCAATTTTTATATTTGGGGTCACATTCAGCAGAGCGCCCACTCCTTCAAAATGCAACTACCGGTAATTTAAAACTTGGTCTTGCGTAACGAATCTTAGTAATTGTTTTTATATGATACAGCGTGGATATCGACCGCTGTGAACATGTTGTGAATGCGTAGAACACAGTAACCGTGTGTAAACTACGCCTCGACAATGACCTGTTAATACAAGTAAAATGCGGTAAATATTTCATGCCATATTCAGTTTACTTCTCAAAAATGGCTAGTTACTGGTTTTTTGGAAAAACCATGTCGTTTATTTGCTGAAATCAATTCCAACAGATCGTACTTCGACATCGATAATTCACGTCCGCATAGCGTTACCGGAAGTCTTCGGTAATTTCCGAAGAATTGCGTCAGTACAACACAGCATTCTGATTGGTTAATAACCAACTTGACCCATTAGGTCAAAGTACGCTGCTGCAGGTCAAATCTGCAAATGCATCATGGCGGAAAGTGATTTTCATCGAGAGTTTGCGTATGATCCAACACCTTCGTCAGTGGAGATAATAGGACAATTTTTACTTCGACTGTGTTCCAACAGACTCAAATGTTTTTAATTTCGTAAATTCTGGTGGTACGTAATTAATATTGTAAATGTGCATATTTTTTTTGATCATTTCTGTTCTTCATTGTGAAAATCAATGACGACTTAACTAATTTTTTAATTTGATTTTCCCTCAAAGACGTAATCTGTCACTTGATGAATAAAATTTTTCATTTGCACTCTTTTTCGAGGGGGGTGCTCATGATTTTCTGAGTTGAGGCCCCTGGGCGCTAACGTGGTCGAGTACGGTAATAATAACTAATTTACATAACAATGTAATGTACTAATTAGCTCTATTATATTCATCCTGATGATAAATTTTCTGTATTGTTTATCCAAAATGATAGAGCAACTGCCCCCTACTGAAATGACAGTCGGTCATAACATCATATTAGACATGCAGGGTTAAAACTTGACAGAAGTGTCAAATGCTGTGATCAGGGCTTGATTTTTCAACTCATTTGTCCCACATGTATGTTGTTCAAATGGCAATTGCACATGTCCCGGGCTATAGGATTTCTCTTAGTGTCAAGTCCTGTTTGATGCCTAATGAATTTTCATTAGTGTCCTTCAATATTCCTTATAATGTATTTTATTTTAAAGGCATAATTTTCCTTGTGTAATCGGTTTTAGTGCTTGTTCAGTATTCCAATAATCAATCATAACACAATCGTAACAAACACTATTTACCTTTCCCTTGTTAAAAGCATAGAACCTTTTCAGATTTTAATTTGACCTATAGCCCAACTAAAGTTTGACTCGCATTAGCTTGTGTTGAACCATGACTAGCCAATCTTTATTATGCTATGTACTGTTAGTGTCAGACATGCAACAAAAAGCAAACTAAATGAAGCCTGAAAAAATAGCACTAATGAGAAAGTGGTATGGTTTAATCAATCTTATTCTCTTTAGGACTTTAGAGCTTAAGTAATCGGTAAATGAATTGAGTGGCTTCAAAATCTGATTGCAATTAGGAGGGAAGATCTATTGTATAGTGCAGGTGTCTGAGTCTGTATTACCGTAATCGTCTGCGTTAGTGCCCAGGGTCGTCAACTCAGAAAATGATTTTTTAGGGGTGGGCGCTTCCCCGAGCACCCCCCTGGGAAAAGAGTGCAAATGGCAATTTTAATTCACCATATGACAGATTGAGTGGGATATTATTTCTTTGAAGGCAAATAAAATTAATTGTGTCGTCATTGACTTTTTATAATACAATGAAGAAACAGAAAAGGTCACAAAAAATATGCACATTTTATTATATTATTAATTACATACTACCCGAATTAATGAGATTGAAAATATTAAAGTCTGTTGGAGCACAGTCAAAGTCAAACTCTTCATCATTATCTCCACTGGTGAAAAGCACTTTCCGCCATAATGTATTTGCATGATTTGACCTGCAACACTATCCATTTAGTTTTTCACTCAGGTAGACATCTGGAAGCTAATACTAAATTCAGGCTAGTTCAGTGGATGATATCAGTGTTTTAAATAACAAAGCTATTTATAGTATATTTGGCAGTTGAAAATTATCAAATACACTCCAAACTTAATGAATGTAATTAAAACAATTTAAATAACATTCAAAGCAATTTCTAGCAATTTTGATAATATTTTACTGTATTGCAGCAACATTCACATAAATAAACATTATTGTTCAAAGGATGACTAAAATGATAGTAAATTGATCTTCATTTGTCTGTCTCTTTTTGTCTGCTCCTCAGAACTTTTGTAGTTTTTTTTTATCCAATTCACTATTCAGAATTATCACATATTAGTCATTGAGGGCTTACATTGTATCTGTCCAAGTTTGTTTATGACATGATTTTGGTTTTGCCCATGGTAAAATACAATTGTATGAGTGACGTTTGTCTCAATTTGAAAGAATGCCAACCAAGGGCAAGGTAACATGAGTTTAACTATGTTTTCAGGCAGTGAAACCGACGTTTTGTAAATATAATATTTAAATTGATGATATAATCAACATAAATTTAATGTTTTATATTTATAATCATACTTGTATCGAAACATGTATGTGTATTCCTAAACATTGATCAAATAAAATAAAACAATACAATCTGTATGTACCATAGGTTTGTTGTTTTGCATATGAATACATAGGTATATAAACATGAGTGACGAGTACGCTATTTAGTAATAAAAATGCTTCAACTTACCAAACTACTAGTGTCTCCCAACAAGTTTGTCATAGAAAGGTTACAATATATGGACGTTTGAGATGCAAAATCAAATCAATACTACTGTAAAATACTTTATTTTCACTCAGCATTTATTTTTGCTACTAAAATAATGTATTTTACAGTATGATATTTCAGCTAACTTGCAGTAAAACCAATGATACACTGTTACAGCACAAAAAAGGAAAGGAAAATCCCTTTGTCATTTACGTGAACATACTTGCTACTAATAGAGCAAACAGTATTGTAAACACATGAACTACTAATAGAGATTTATGGTATTTGTCATACCATGAAATCAAAACCTAATTTTCCCATATCTACTAATTTTTTAATTTCATAATGAACAAAAAATTCCATTATCTTTTTGACATTTTTACATGGTTTTAATTCATCACATTTCACTAATCAGCGAAAATAACAAAATTAATAAGTAAATAATTTATACATTAACAGATATCTACTATGGCTCCACAAAATACCTTTCTATAATTGAATAGAAAATATAAATTAAATTTTTATAATTCCAGTGTCTGCTCTATTATGGCAGGCTGGAGAGAAAAACATTGTAACATTCACTACCTTTGAACACTTTGTCACCAGATTAAAAATAACATAATTATGGATTATAAATGTATATTGTGAGTAGATATTGATTAAATATTAACTTTTGTGATTGTAATCGAATTATTCAATACATGTGCATCAGACACCTGTGGGAGGGGAGAGAGCAGAACGAAGGGGAGGGGGTTTATCATCACCTAATTAAGTAATCTTTTCTTTGAACACCTCCTGCCATAATCACAATTTGTTTCACATTTGAATTAATGTAAATTGAAGAAGATGAATGAATCTGTCTTCTTGGATTAAATTATCATGCAGGTTTTCTAATCTGTGTGGATACCGTTATACGTGTCTGCAATGCTGATTTGTATGCTTGAATTATGTCAGTCTATGTCAGTAATTCAGTGTTAGTTTATTGATATCATGCCTGATAGGAGGGGGCAATACAAGGAATTTAACTGGGATTTTGATATTCCGTTAATCATATTGCTAGTAAACATGAAACTTATGTTATTTAGTTGTTAATATTTAATAATCTTCGTCCAAATAAGGGACTTATGTTTTGGGTCCAGCCTTAACTGATTTTGCTCAAAGTTGGTACAAAGACAAGTCATATTGGTATACATTTGCCCATTATTGTGTATTTTTTGTTTCATTCGTGCTTGACTACCGAGCAGCCAATTGTATCCCCTAGAACACCAAAAATCAACAATTGCCATAAACTCAGGTATGCCCAGGCTGATTTTTTTCAAACTAGGCATTGACATCACTCATGATTGGTTCCTGAGGCATGTCAGTTAGTATCATGATTTGATTCAATAAACGATGGTCATTTTCTTTTCTTTTTTTATGCGTTTATTTCTCATTATCTGGTGTGTAATTTCAGTCTGCCACGTGCGAGTGAAATTGTGGTATACCGGTAATTATGTCATCACACAGGACTGGACAAGTTTTATAACTGAATCAACGTATTCATACCATATACATTACACAGGTACAACATGTATATGTCAGTCTCAAATCCCTTTATGCATGTAATGATATATACCATGGGTTTTACATTACATTGACCACACATCACAAAGTATGTTTAATAATATTAAGTCACCATGCAAGTATATACACATACACGAGTGTACCCACCCCCAACAAATTTCTCTGCATTTTTTTCTTCAACCTTTTTTCCCTTTTTTTTGGGGGGGGGGGGTGAGAATAAATGAAAAATGGTAACTTCTTATAAATAAACTTTTTTAGCTCTGCTGACGACTTTGTCGAGC